GGGGGGGGAAACCCAGATCTGCGTCCCCCCCAAAGCACACAGCCCCTGGCTCTCTCCTCAGCAACTTGGGGACCATCCTAACATCATCCGCCTCCTGGACGTGATCCGGGCGGAGAACGACAGGGACATTTACCTGGTGTTTGAGTCTATGGGTAAGTGAGGCCTTCTCACCCTCCAGCCTCACCTCAGTCCTGGTCCAGGACCCTCCGATGGCCTGGATCCCTTTACATGTCCCTCTGCGGCCGGGTCACCACAGCGTTCAGTTGTCACCCAGAACAGTTTCTTGGTGTGGCTGGTGCACGGTCAGCGCCTGGGCCTGGCAGTGACCCCTCGAGCCCACCTCCACGAGGCTCCTGCTTTTTCCACTGTTCGCAACTGTTTTTCCTTTTTCTACCCGTGTTCTAAAACAAAGCAACGTGAAATAAAGTATTAAAAATCACCCCAGAAACTGTTATTGCTGTGCTGACAAAGACAGAACGGGCCTGAAGAAGCCTGCTAGAGCCACTGGGAAGCGTGTGTACCCAGGACAGGGTTAGGAACAGGGCTCTGAGGGTGGCCGGTGCCACCTGGGGACCGCGACCGGGGGAGGGCTGAGCACCCCACAAGGGTCAAAGGTGGGGCAGACTTGTCCAGTGTCCCCAGGCCCCCCAGACTGACCTGCGTGCTCCCCCAGACACTGACCTGAACGCCGTCATCTGTAAGGGCAGGCTGCTGAAGGACGTCCACAAGCGCTTCATCATGTACCAGCTCCTGCGGGCCACCAAGTTCATCCACTCAGGAGGCGTCATCCACCGGGACCAGAAGGTGCCACCCACAGTCCAGTCACGGCTGCCCCCCAGCGTGTGCACCCACCATTAGCCCTCAGCCCGCCTCCTCTCCTGCAGCCGTCCAACATTCTCCTGGATGCCAGCTGCTGGGTGAAACTCTGTGACTTTGGTCTCGCCCGCCCTCTCGGGGGCCTCCCTGAGGGGCCTGAGGGCCCGGCCCTGACAGATTACGTGGCCACACGCTGGTACCGGGCTCCAGAGGTGCTGCTGTCCTCGAGCTGGTAACAGCGTCGCCCCCTCCTCCCCTGCAGTACCTCCTGTGTCTTCTCACCCAGCCAAGGCCCCAAGGCCTTCCTGGGCCCTCACTTTGTGCCCTCACCGGCCCCCTCCTAGCACCCCAGGCCCTGCCCTTTTGAGTGTCTCTCCTCCTCTCTCCACATCTACCTCTGGGGTCCCCCCGCAAGCCTCCACCCCTTCCTGCCCCAGGTACACCCCTGGGGTGGACATGTGGAGTCTGGGCTGTGTCCTGGGGGAGATGCTTCGGGGGAGACCCCTGTTCCCAGGCACATCTACACTCCACCAGCTGGAGCTGATCCTGGAGACCATCCCGCCTCCATCCAAGGAGGGTGTGTACAGGGGCCTGCTGGGCACCGGGGATCCCAAGGGTCAGAGCACACGGCTCTGGGGGCACAGCACACGATGGGCCAGGACTAGCAGGGAGGAGTCTGGGGAAGAGGGGTGGGGAAGGTCCAAAGTTTCGGGAAGACCGGAAAGGGCAGGCCCCACACGTGGCAGGCCCAGGGAGGAGCTGCTGGGGGCTTTGGGAAAGCAACTGGACAGGCCTGCAAGGCGGGCAGGGCCTGGCCACAGGTCCTTTAGGGCCGAGCGGTGCTCATGAAGGGTCCAGCTGAGCGGCTGAGGGATGGGGGCCGGGCAGGGGAGGCTGGGGGTTGGCGGAAGATGTGGAGGAAGGTAGGCTGCAGCAGAGGTAGGTGGCTTAGGGGGGGTGGGGAGGGTCTGTCCTCGTTCCTGGGGGAGGGAGCAGAGCAAGAGAGGGGAAGGACCAGGTGGGGAAGTCGGGGAAGGGGTTCTTCCATGGAGGTGGGAGTGCCCGGATGTGGAGTGCACGCGTGGGGGTGTAAGTGTGCAAGGGCCAGCACACGGGTGGGGCACGAATCCGGATACTGAAGGTTTGAGGCCTGGCAGACTGCCGCAGCCCTGCAGAGAGGCCACTCCATGGGGCGGGAAGAACGACTGGCCCCAGACCTCCCTGAGCCGCCCGCCCCCCCTGGGCCAGGCCCCCCTGACCACACACCACCTCTGTCCACCCTCCCTGCAGACCTCCTGGCTCTCAGCTCAAGCTTCAGCGCCGCAGTCCTGCCCTGCCTGGGGTCCCGGTGAGCGGGGCTGCTGAGGAGCCTGGCTCGCACTCCTCATGTAAATTTGCTTGGCCAGTCTGCCCGCCCAGACCCGGGCCCTGGCCTTCGGATGGCAGGCCCAAACCCAGCGAGTTGGAATTTCCAGCACCGCCCGGCTTGGCCTGGGGGCACGGGCAGGCCCGCGGGAACTGCGCAGGGCATGGAGAGCAAGGGACCAGAGGACGAGGCAGGGAGGGGTCGGCCATCAGTGCCGTGCTGCCTGGGGGTGTCGTGTGGGGAGGGGAGATGCACGGAGGCAGTTAAGTGGCGCTGGGCGGAGGATGGGGAGGGGCCCGCCCTGGAAAGGGGACAATATGCAGGCACCTACAGGCCACGGCAGACGCTGGACGCCCTCCTGCCGCCAGACACCCCCCCGGAGGCCCTGGATCTCCTCAAGGGACTCCTGGTATTTGCCCCGGGCAAGCGGCTTAGCGCAGCGCAGGCGCTGCGGCACCCCTACGTGCAGAGGTAGGGGCGGGGTCCCCTGGCCCAGCTGCTGCTTTGCCGGTCTTGTCTTGGGTGTTGGGTCCCGGACCTGGGCTCGGCCGGAGAGGCCATCTTGACCGCAGCCCGAGGCTGGCTCCCCGCAGGTTCCACTGCCCCGCTCGCGAGCAGACCCTGGATGCGGCTGTGCGGCTCCCGGTGCTCGAAGGAGTTCAGCTGTCAGCGCCTGAGTACCGCAGCCGCGTCTATCAGGTGCTCCGGTTCGCGACCACGATCTTCCCACACCCACGCTCACCCTCGGGTCCCCCCTCCCGCACCCCCGCGCCAGCGACCCCCAGAACCCTCTACACCCACGCCGTCCACCTCTGAGCGCCCCTCGCCTCCCGCAGATGATCCTGGAGCGCAGGGGCGGCGGCCCTGTCCCGAGAGGGAAGGGCCCGGGGGGCACGCCCCCGGGGACGGACCCCAGCGCCCCCCGGGCCCAGGCGCGCCTGCGCTCACCCAGAGCCGTCCCTCAGCTGTCCCCGGGCTCGCCCTCGCAGAAGCCCGGTGCCGACGCCCAGAGCAGCCTGGGTCAGCAGTCCGCACACGGTGTGTGCCCCGTCCCCCCGGAGCGCGGCCCCTGACCCTTCTGGGTGGAGCCACCAAGGGTCCGCAGCGCCGGACTAACCCCGGGGGTTGGTCTTCAGACCCCACAGACGTTCCCTGCGGAGCCGAGAACCTTCCCCGGCCGGACGTGGCGCCCCTGCTCCAGCCCCCGCCCCCAGGGGGCCTCGGGAGGGCGGAAAGGCCCCCTGGGGTGACGGCACAGGCCCCCTCGGGCCACTCGTGGGTAGGTTGACCGGGGAGGGCCCCTCTCACTGTACTTCCGAGGGCGGCGCCCGGTGGGGCGGTGACCCTGTGACGCGCCCCCTCCCAGGTGAAGCCCAGCGTGAAGGGGGCGGCGCCCTCCCTGGCCTCTCAGGCCGCCGCCCGGGTGGCCGTCCAGGCCCTGATCCGGAGCGACTGGAATCCGGGCCGTGGGGTGAGGGCGAGCGGCGCGCGACGGGTGAGCCCGCCCGGCCCCCCGACCGCTCCCCCCGCCCCCCGGCCCCGCCCCCTCGCGCGGCCCCCAGACTGCGCGC